ATTCCCTCAGGAATTTTTGGGGAATTACGGGTCAAGTTCCCACAATCCCACATTCTCTATCCCATAATGCTTATTCCATGCTATAATTTCATGCCATTTTTAAAATTTCCACCGCTTTTCAGTCTCTGACATCTCTCTGGCAGACGTTTGGCTCCTGCACAGCTCAGCTCAATTCTTATGACTATTGCTAAGACAGGACACACAATTCTCCTGTATCTGTGGAACTTCCGAGACTACTACAACCAGCAGTGCAATGAGGATGATGAATGGATGAAGAAATAAAAATGCCAGGTTGCTGCTGGCATTCATACACTGGCATTCATTCCACTTGTTAAATGAGCACTGAGTGGTGGGATCGCATTGTAATGCAGATCGAAGATGATGAGCAATTTCTGTAGAACTTCTGGATGTGAAAGGCCACATTCCTGGATCTGTGTGCTGAGCTCTCTGACACAGCGATACCAGAGTAAGGGCAGCACTGACACTGCTAAAGGGAGTGGCAGTCATGCTCTGGGTGCTTGTAATACTGGATTGCTGTTGGTCAATGGGGAATCAGTTGAGCTGGGAAATCCACAGTTGGGGCCATTGTCGTCTGAGTGTGCAAAGTCATTTAGCATATCCTTCTGCATGGGACCGTGACTCTCAGCAATGTGCAGGAAATAGTAGATGGATCTGAAGCAATGGGGTTCCCGAACTGAGGTAGGGCAATAGATGGGATGCATACTCCTATTCTGGCACCAATTCCACTTTGCCAGTGAGTACATACACGGAAACGGGAACTTTTTCCAGGGTTCTGCAACCACTAGTGGATCACTGGGGATGCTTCACTGATAATAACAGTGTGGGCTGGGCAGGGAATGTGTATGATGCTTGCATCTTTAGGAACAGAGGACTCTTCCAAAAGCTGCAAGCAGGGATATTCTTCCTTGACTGGCACATTCACTTTGGCAATGTTGACATGCCAGTAGTAAATCTGGAGGACCCAGCCTATCTCTTGCTCCTGTGGCTCAGGAAGCTGTACGCTGGCCACCTTGACAGAACCAAGAAAAGATTGAGCTACTGGCTGAGCAGGTTCAGGTTGACTGCTGAATGTGCATTTGATAGACTCAAAGCGCAGTGGTGATATTTACTAACTACACTGGAACTCAGGAAGGCACACAGTCCTATCGTTATTGCTGCATGTTTCTATTACATAATATTTGTGAAACAAAAGGGAAAAGGCTACTGGCTAAGTGGAGGGCTGAGGTGGACCTGCTGTTTGCTGAATTTGAACAGCCAGACACAGAGCCAGCTGTGGAGCTATACAGTTGATGGAGTCCTTTACAAACTCATTTTAATAGTCAGCTATAGTTGTGTTATACAATGCTTTGGGGAACTTGTGTGCCTGTTATGGATTTGTAATGTGGCAAATCTGCTTGGTGCAAACTAGTAAATATACTCTGCATTTCAAAAAAATAAAACTTTATTGTGTGCAAATAAATGGGAAACAAAGTTAAAGTGCAAATAAACAAGTTAAACATTTTAGCAGCACTGTAAGAGTGTGATGCATCCTTATAAAAACGGAGTAAAACATGCATGTTTACGTATTCAATATTACAATGTTTCATTCATGGTAAAAACAAGTAGGGGACTCTGCTTTCTGGCTTATTCTGTAGTTATCACAGATCAGAATAAGTCTAGTCATTGTTTTATTTGTTTTCCCCTGCCATGGAGTGGTAGGGATAAGAGTTCATCTTCTGCTGGCACCTGGTATGTTGTGGGGTAGAGGGATCAGTGATCATAGGGTTTTCCATGGAATGGCAAGGCAGCTGTGTATTCGGTCTTTGGGCATTTAGCTCAATAAATGTTCTGCAACATCTGTGTTTGTTGCCTGAGCAAACCCATAATGTCCTGGTGCACTTCCTGCCTTACTTCTCTGACCTTTTCCTCTCCTCCAACAACCAGTCTTTCCATTCCTGGCCCTTACCCTAATTTTAGCCATTTGGCCCCTCCAATCCCCATGTTCACAGTCAGCAGCTGTGGAGCACTGGAAGATATCAGAAAACATGTCCTCCCTGGTCTGCTTCCTTCTTCCCCGCTCTGGGTCAGGCATTCAGCAGACATGGAGGGGGCACCTCTGAAGGCCTCCATGCTAGAGGCTGCTGATTAAAACATACAGATACCGCATTATATTTACAGTCACAATGGCAAGGGAAAGGTAAGTCTCACAACTCTCTTACATTATTTCCATAAAAACCTTTAATAAAAAATGCTAATTGTCACTTTAGCTTTGAAGCACCTTGTTACAGCATCACTCTTCAGCTTAAGCCATGGTTAGTACAGAGTAGTATGGGGGCATGGAAACTGTTGCATGGAAGGTTTAGATGCTGGCTGCTCCTTGGTATGAGTATAGGGAAAGTGTAGTAAATATTGCTAATATTTTCACATGCAGTGGTGATTTTGACTAACACCTCACTCCTGAGGGTGACAAAGGTCCAGAGAACATTGCTGCTACTGGCATCCCAAAGCCCCTTGGTCCATATGTTGCTCGCTTGCTTATTGTAATGGTGCCAGCAGAACTCACCATAGAGTGGCATGGGGCTGTCTCCTGTCGCCTGGGAAAACACAAGGTTGCCATCCCTAGAAATGTTCGGGAGAGGGTTGCAGAGCATTTCCATGAAAGTTGAGAGATTGTTGAAGAAGATAAGAGAGACATCCTCTTCAGATAAACAAAGTACTCCCCCTGGGGAGAATTGTGGGGCCCCTGTCTAGCGCGACAGGCCAAACAATGGAAAAGCGAACATCAGCTGTATCTCTTCATTCTACCTCTATCCGGAGGAGGGCAGTGATCTGTTGTGGATTGTGTCAATTGGACTGCTATACTAAATTTTTTTGAATTAATTTCCTAACACGTAGTAGTTCATTAAAGTGTCAACTAAGTATGCATTCTAAAGCATTAACTTTAATTGTATTTCCAGTGCTGGTTTTAAAAGTAAAATGAAGAAGCAAAAGTTGATGAATTTGTTCTCTAACTGGGCCGATGGGATAGGTGCTATTTTTAAACAGGGAAACAAACTGCTTGTAAGGAATAATGCATCTGTGCATGTACCTGAGCTCCCTTCCCCTCCATCTCCAGGCTTATCTGTGCTTGCCTGGTGAGACTGGCTCAACTACAGTGGAGTTCTGAAGAGCTCCTGGCTCGCTGCAGGCTTTGAATCACCCTCCACTTCCCCCATCCCCTCTTCATCCTCCTCCCTGTGCACTGCAGGAGTTATCATACCTGGGTCTAACGCAGGGTCAACAGTCACATTCGGCGTGCTGGTGGAGTTCCCACCAAGTTTGGCATACGGTTTACAGTAGAAGTGGCCTCCTGGGTAGCCCCAGATTTGTTGTTGCTATCCCTCACTTTCTGATAGGCCTGCCAAAGTTCTTTGGCTTTCACCTGGCATTGATTCTCATCCCTGTCATGCTCAAAGTTTAGCATCCCCAGTGCAAGCTTCGTGTAGATATTTATGTTCCTTCAGCTGCTCCTTAGCTAGGCTTGCACAGCCTCTTCTTCCCATAGGCCAAGGAGATCCTGGACTTCTGCTCTACTCCAGGCAGGAGAATGTCGAAGTATAGCTCTCTGTCAGTGCAGAACTGGCATGGTCAGATGCTCGCAAAGGTGGGCTAGAAGGTTTGCTCACCAAGGTGGCCAACCAGGCAAAGGCATTTCAAAAACATGCTGAGGTTTTTAAAGAGGGTGGGCTGCGACACGCTTCCAGGATCTATGACCTCTGGGCAGTAGAGTTCAAAATTGTGACCAGAGTGACCACTGTCATGGGGGATGGTGCATTGTGGGATAACTGCTGGAGGACAATTAGGGTTGACACAGTTGATGCAGTGTCTACATTAGCACTATGCTGATAAAAATAGGTCAACTCTGGCTGTGCATCATTTGGCAGGGGTGCTGGGGGGAAGGGGGGTTGTAATTGTGCTTAAGTTGATGGGAGACATATTTAGGTTTGGATAATACAAACCTATGTTGAAACAAGTCGACTTAGGTCAATCCATCTTTGTAGTGTAGACCAGGCCTGGGGAAGGAGATGTTTGTGATAATAAGACAGGCATATCAAAGAAACCAGAAATGCACAAGAGGACTGTGAAAGAGACCTAATACTATAAGCCACATGGGACTGATAGGCTTGGTGGCCAAATGGATCACAAGGGAGAAAAGGAAAAAAGTGCTCCCTAGAAATGTAAGTTACTTTACTGTAACTCTTTCCAAGTATGAGACTAGATCTGTTATACAGTCTATTTCTTATGTCTTAATCTTGTTTTTAATTTATTCTTAAAGAACCTTCTTTTTAAATAGACCATTTGAATCTTTGTCAGTTGTCTGCAATTTCATAAAGCCCATCCCTGAGCGGTGAAAAAAACTAAGCAACAGCAGCGAAGGAAGGGTGTCTGGACTGGAGCACTCTAGGGCCCTGATCCGTGGTGGAAGCTTTTAGGAGCTAAGGCATAAAACAACAAATACTGCTATGAATAAAAGGGCATACCTGACCCATTAGGTGTGCCATTCACAGGGCTGCAGTCATATGGGTACACAGGGTGTGCCTAGTGCCTAGATGGGAATTGAGTTTAAAGGATGTCAACAAAATTCAGATCTAGATTTTGATCACTCCACAGTTCGGGGATGTTTGAATGTGGGGTTCTGATTTGGCCTATTATAAAGATAAAGGGTCAGTTCTAAAATTCTGATTCAGATCCAGTTCAGAATTCAAACATCTTCTACAGTCCACAAGTATTTGGACTGATAACTTTGTACAGGCCAATATCTAAAGAGCACCTGAATTAAAATGGACCTGATTTTGCCAAGTGTTCCTTTCACCCCATCCCCTCTAGTTTAATTAGCACTTTGCTGAATACCACACATATTTGAGCCCCAAGACACCAAATGATACAGCTATAGTCAGATAAAACATCAAGTAAAGGTATATCACTGTCATCTACTTTTTTTTGTGTGTGTGTGGTTCTAGGTGTGTATTGTACAAAAGAGAGATACGGAGAAGATGTATGCTATGAAGTACATGAACAAACAACAATGCATCGAAAGAGATGAGGTTCGAAACGTGTTTAGAGAATTAGAGATCCTGCAGGAAATTGAACATGTATTCTTGGTGAATCTCTGGTGAATATCTTCTTTTCTGATGTACACTTCTGGTGACTGCATGTATTCACAAACACCTTACAGTAACCCTCATAGTCAGTCAGTTTGCACTTGACAAGGGGCGATGAAAGAAATCTACTGAGTTGTCCCTATATCATCACTGGATTTCTTGCTTATGTGAAAACTTGGGGAATCTGTCCTGATAGCTAAGATGTTTACATTTTAAGGCACAGTTTTAAATCATTTGATGAATTATCTTACATGATTTCTTTAGAATATTTTTTTTAAATTGGTAAACAAGTTTTCTTTCAAATCTGAAAATCAAATAACTGTTCCGCTCACACTTTTTGAGTTAAATTTAAAATAATTTTGCAATACAACATGTTAAAGTGAAGTTTGGCAAAGGAACTTTGATGCAGTCAAACAATTTAATCAGAGTATTTAATTAAAGAGCTCATACGTTATTGTACTTTATGTATGGAGATACTGATCACTGTGATTCTGTCCATGTTCTTTACTTTTTCATCATGAATTGTGTGCTATATTTTGTAATCCTTGCATCAGGCACAAACTTGAACTTAAAGAATTAAAAGAAACTGGTAGCTCTCCATGATGTAGATTATGTTTACCATCTTAATAATAAATAACAATAAATAATAATAATGCCAGCAACATGGTACAAATGTGCTAAAAGTGTATGGGGCTTTACACATGGTTCTTGTCTCTCAGGCATCTTTCATTCTAAAGGAATTGATTTGCAAACACTTGCTACGTACTGGGTAAATGGACTGCTCTGGGTCATAAGCGCTAGAAGTAAGATTTTGCTAGGTAGGCCCTATTAGAGCAGCCCCAGTTCATCAAGGCAGTTTAAATATGCACTTTAAGTTAGGCACATGTTTAAGTACCTTGCTAAATGGAGGCCAGGATGACAAAGAGAGGCCTGTGAGGCGGGTGGCCAGACTACATGAAATATGGTCATACAGGTGCTCCAGCGGCACCGTACATCTCACGCTATACACTAAGCATCCAAAGACACACTTCAAAAGCTTTTTATGGATCAAAACAATTTTTAGACTTTAGCTGTGCTATAAGGAAATAATTGCAAAAATTAAGAGTCAAATCATTGGTATTTGTTGCAGCGAACCAGTCATTGCATAGTCTTTGCGAGTGGATACATCATCAAGTTTGAACTGCTATTAATACTGAGCAATTTCAAATGTAATCACCTTAGCTAGTGTTCTCCTTTTGACACATATTTAAGTAGTCTATTCAAATTATCAGCCATGTGGCAATTATTGAAAGCCTTGTTGTAAACAAAATGCTTTATAAAAAGTTAAACTGGTCAATTAAAAGTGCATTCGTTTATAATTCAGACTTATTTTCGGTATTCACTTTTGCACAACCTAAATCTACTGGCTGATGATAGAAAATGATCCAATAAGCCCCAAAGGATCATAAATTCATTTTTGATGAGCATGGAATAGTCCAGATATTTATCTGAAGTTTATCAAAATATTTGATATTCCTTCCACCACCATCTTCATGATCCTCTAATGGGTCCTGATCCAAGTTACCCCTGCTGCAATTGCTCTTGCCTCCCCACCACACATGCTCTTTTGCAGGGATCAGCAAATCTCAGTAAGTCTGTCATCTTCCTTGATGGGCCCTGGAAGCTGAATTCAAATTGTGCATGCTCAGAGACACTGTGCCAAGAGAGCATTTAATGCATGAGTGCTCATAAGATTCATTGGCAGCCAGGCCCAACAAACAGGTTTACTGAGTTCCATGATAGAATATTCAGAGAAAGCATTAGGAAAGAGGTAATATTGGAAGATACAGGAATGGATCCATGGCCCATATTTACAGACAGTGGGGAAGGTCAAATCTATATAGCTTGGTGGAAGGAAGCTGGGGTCAGGTAAGAAGGTTACAAGAAGGGAGGGTGATGTGGCCATACTGGGAAAGAGGATGAAAGTGAGAAAGAGAGGGTGAGAGATGGGTCATCCTTATCCAACCTGAACATTGGCGTTGGGCTGCTTAAAATTTTGAGTTGCTTTTATATTTTTCAAATGGTTTCACGCATCCTTTGTTACAGTTTATAATATATTATTTCAAACGATAAAGTAGCTTTTTGTAAATCCCCAATTCCTCATTTGAAATCTGGAGAATATAATGGAATCAAATAGCCAATATTTCCAATCCAGCAGTTTTTCAAATTACCTAAAGACTCATGCAGTCACATCTTCTCTGCTCTTTAGAAAAGTGTGTTGTAATGATAAAATGAAGACTGTGTTCATAAAGTAACAGGTAAATAAGGTGATTTTTTAAAATAAAAAATGCAGTGAAGTATATTGATAGTGCCATAGTTTTCTCTAATAGGTGCCAAATTTCCTGTTGGATTCCAAAGTTTATGTCACAAATGAAATGTGTTTGTTAGTCTAAAATTAATCCCTGTTGCATATTGTTTGACCTCACAAAGACATCAGGAATGACGGGCACTTTTTCTCAGGAAAGATCCACAAACCTGATAGCAGGACAGGCTGAATCTGCATTGATAGAGTTGGCAGGGATGTGTGCTTCAAGGAGTCAGTCTCTATTAGCCAGTGCTAATCCTCCAGCCATGTTAATGAGCAGTGAAATTTCCCGAAGATTGAAAAAGCCCCAATAGCACTAAAATAAAATGACGAAATAAAGTCTATGCATAATGCCTTAGGATTAGATTCAGTAAGTCCCTTCAGTATAGTCAAGACAATCGGCCTGAGTTTGTAAAACCATTTTAACAATTGCTCTACTGAGGTTGTTAAGAAAGTAAGTGTTTTCTCTTAGCGCTATCAGATAATAGAATTGTACATTCATTTCTAGCACACATTCAGTATAAGAACAGAAATTTGTGAAGCATAATTTGTGATGCATGCATCGCACAATCCCACATATAATTCACTAAGTAGTACTGTTGTCACAGACAACTACTGGAAATTCTTTTGAGGTATGTCCAGAGTTTGGTGGGGTTTCTCACAAAAGCCAATTGTTTCAGATTTTAAAAAGACCTTTCTATTTTGTAACTGATATAAGGCTCCTGCTCTGACATTCTATGAGTTAAATTAGCCCTTGTATTCTCTTACTTCATTTTCAAAAAAGAGAAAAATCAGTTTATGAAAAATACAGAAAATCTGCATTTAGAATGAGTCTGAAGTTAAAATGAAATGTGTCTTTACTAAAGTCCCAAACTTTACCTGTTAATGAGGTGAGTGATTCATAAAATATAACAGGGAACTATGTAGCTCTGGGTGAATGGTTAGTAGGGGCTGACAATGTTTCTCGCAGTGAAAATCATTAGAGCAAAGTGTTGAAACTTGAGGCCAGATTTTCATAGCCTAGCTTCCCCGTAGGTGCAGTTCAGGCCATTTTCCTGATCATGCCACAGATCGGTAACTGGATGTCTAATGGTCTGATTTTCAGAGCTAAGCACTCAACCCCACTGGAAAACAATGGGAGCTGTGGACCTCAGGCTTAGGCTTAAATTGCACTAAATTGCACTCTCAAAGAAGTGAGTGCCAAATTTCGCCTGTAATTATTTCTGCTGACAAAACTGTGGATACAAAAACTTAAGGCCTGGTTAAGGTCAGGCTGAAACTGAATCCCTAGAAATCTCAGGTAACTATTTTCAACTAAATAATTTAGGGCCTAATCCTGTGAGTTGCTCAGCCCCGCCCATAAAGTGCTAAATGCACTCAAAGGGCCCTTTATTCCCACTGAACGCCACATGGGATGGGACCTTTAATTTTGTTTGGCTGATACTATATATAATGAGGGTTTTTTTAAACAATACATAAGCAATAAACTTTTGTAACATATGATCCCGTTGACATGCAGGCTGCCATGATGCATGCTGTGTGTAGTTCCGTTGACCTCAAAGGATTTGCACATGGTGTTAGAGAAGAATTTGTCTCACTGCATAAATGGTGCAGATCCTGTACTGGCTTTCTGAGTATTCATTGGAGCAGGGACTGGAACCCAGGTGTCACCTCAACCCAGGTGAGTCACCCAACCTAACCATCAGGTTCTCTCTCCCCCTTTCTAAGCCTCAGCTGGGAGGTGAGAAATCCAAGTTCAAATTCCTGCTCCAATGACTATTTAAGTATTTTATACAAAGAGGAACAGCTTCAACAGGCGAGATTGAGAGCCCCACCTAGATTATCCCATATCTTAGTGGTTAAGGCGCTCATCTAAAATGTGGGAAACCAAAGTTCAGCTCCCTGTTCTGAATCAGACAGAATGGAGACTTGACCCTGGGTGTCTCCTATCCCAGCTGTCTCCTATCCTATAACCACAGGGCCATTGGGTAAACAAGAGGGTCCTCCTCTGGTTTTATGAATCTATCCCAAAACATTTTTGGGGGCCAAAAGTATTTAGCAAATTGGCGTCAAATCTGTGAACAGTTTTAGTTGGCCTGAAACAGCATTTTTCATCAGCTAAATTTGTCCAAAAAATTTTGCCCAGCTCAACTAAGAATTATAGGTATGCCCCCCACAATGGGGCCTTTGAGAGCGTGCAGCATAGCACCGCACACATTGACCTCATGCTACTGCTCAAGCAAGGACAGTCTTCCCTGGCCCATCATAGGTCCTTCACACTATATGTCAGAGAAGTGGCTAGAGGCTCAGTCAGGGGGCTAGAATCAGCACTAACATTTTAATTGTAATGGAGATTGGCTATCAATAGCTCTGAGTAGCATATTCTTTGTGGGTGACTCATTAGAGCTGATAGCAGGGAGGTTTATCAGATAACTACATTTGGTTTGCTGCTCATTATTCCAGCACAGTTTTGATTGTATCAGGAAGAATAAGTGTGTTAAGAATATAGGAGTTAAATGACAGTGCCCTGAATATAACAATGGACTGTGCAAGTAGGGTAAAATTAATGAGTATTGCTGCCCCTTCACATAAATTTTGCATGGGATAGCCTGTGTAAGTTACACAATGAGGAAGGCAGCATGCAAATTAATTCATCCAGACAGAACATAGCAGTAATGAGTTAAAAAATATAAGACAGTATATTGAATCATGCATGCACAATTAAAATGATGTAAATATTGAAGCCAGGATATTCCTGTAACTTTACTTGGGTAAATGGAGAGGATAGGATTGTTATCATTTAACATGTAGAATATAATTAGGATTAAAAAAAAGCTCCTTCATTTTGTAGCACCTGTGAAATTTGCAAGGTGCCATGCTGTTTACTTGCTTGTGGTTGTTTTCTGTAGGTACTCTTTTCAGGACGAAGAAGACATGTTTATGGTAGTGGATTTACTCCTAGGTGGTGATCTACGGTATCATCTACAGCAAAATGTTCAATTCACGGAGGAAACAGTGAAGCTTTATATTTGTGAGATGGCACTAGCTCTAGACTATTTACGAAGTCAGCATATTATTCACAGGTAACAGCAAAATCTGTTAGTCTCAGCTGTTGAAAACTAACAATCTAAATAAACCAACATCGATAAATGAGATGGTCAGGATCATTAGAGAATAAGGGGCCAGATCGTCAGCTGGTGCAAACTGGCATAGGTCCATTGCAGTCTATGTTTGAGTTTAAGATGGAGTTGTCCTCATTGTATTGTATGCTAATGAGTATCCCAACATCATTAACAGTTGGTATTCAGTAAACAGCTCCTATTTAAACTGCACCTGGCCATCTGACCCCTTGGTTAAAATTCTGCCCTCATTATACTGGCGCTGGTCCTTTGCCATCTGTGGATTTACTCTAAATTTACCCCAGCATAAATTTGGCCCAGTATTTGATTCAAAGTTATAAAGTTCTTCACAATAAACACCAACTCTTTCAGTATTAATTTCAATAGAAGTTTTGCAAGAGCAAGATCTGGGAGTTTTGTCGTCCCCCCCCTTTTTTCTTTTTTTGCATGATTGCATAGGAAAAACATTTATCTATTACACATATAAGAGATGGCACATGCATGAATAATTTCTCTCATACTAGGGTACTTTATTTTATATTTCTACCCTAATTGTTGGTCACAAGAAATAGTTTTGCCTTTCTTTTGAGTTGCTTTTTCCATTTGCATAACTTCTTACATACATCCTCATTTCTTTTCCCAGAGATGTAAAACCAGACAACATTCTTCTAGACGAGCAAGGTAAGAAAAAAAACAAAACCTGTCTGTCTCTGCAGCTCTTGTAAGCCTAGGTCCTGATTCTCCACTACCATGCATCTTGTGTGCATATTTACCCCTAGGCAAGGTGGGAGCAAGACACTACTGCTCTGGTTTGGAAATATTTTACATTAATTTTGCACACAGGTTATGCAAGGCAAGGGAGAATGAAGTCTCAAGTACGTTTGTCATAAACCAAAGCTTATTTTAACTAGCTCTTATATTTTTAAGACAAATAATATTTCTGGCTGAGATTTTTAAAAGTGTTATTTTTTCTTCAAAGATATTAATACAATAGCTTCCAATCAAATTAACTATTAGAAAATAACTTTGTGTCCTACCAATCTGCTAGTTGATAAAAAATGTTGGGGACCTGTTTCCACAAATACCTTAGGCCAAGGTATCATAATCATTTTTCATCTTCAGTACTTCGGAGTCAAGAAAAGAGGTATTTATATATTTACTTTGAGCTTTAAAAATACAATTGTAGTCACCTACCTTGTGCTTTGGGCACTCTGGCTATACATTAAAAATCACAACATGAACATAAACAAAAGACTGCCCATAAACATCTTCTCCTCAGCTTATGCTCTCTTCAGCAACCTTACAGAAGCAGACGGGAGGGAAGAGGGGCGGGGGGGGGGCGGAAATGGGCTCTACAACCTGCTTGGAAGATTAACAAATTTGGGCTCTGACAGAACAAAGTGGGAAACAAGATCAAGACTCTTCATTGAGAACGTACTACTAGCCGCTCTCTGTCTTAAATGGAAGGCGTTCCAGGCTGCACACCACTGCTGATCTCAGCTGTTGCAGTATATCATTGGGAAAGACAGGCAATCTCTCAGGCAACCAAGTTCTAATCCTTTTTGGTTTTTATAGGTTCAAACCAACAGCTTGAATTTCACCTGAAAACTTACCAGAGCTGGTGCAGATCGCAGAGCACTGAAAAACTAGTGAGCATAAAATAGAAAGAATGAGATGAGAGGCAAAAACAGGAGGAGAAAATGGGATATTCTGCCCTTGATTCAGACATGAAACATCCAAAGATGTCAGCTGGGGAGCCACATGCAGATACAGGGCAGAAAATAGCCTTACAGGAGAGAGAGAGAGAGAGAGAGCGTGGTTTGCTTTGGACTAGATTTCTAGCTTGGCTTGAAAGTAACTATCCCCCAGGCAAGATTTGGAATAATTGGTTGACCTGCTGCAACTCATGTTGGATTTCTTTTTTGTTAGCCTTGACAGAGTAGATGAACTGACCACAGATTTTATATGCTCCACTTAAAGTAGTTTTATTGTGATGCGTCTGTTACACAAGTAATCTATGAACAGCCACCTTAATAGTATGAAAAATGGAATTGCCATGTAGCCAGCTTCTTTTAAAGAGCAGACTTGGCTATACTGGAAGCATGATCAGAGTTAAGGAATTAAGGAATATTGGAGTTCACTACAACCCAAATCTCCTCCTTCAGTGCTATACTGAACTGTAGTGACGTCTCTTTTCTTGCTGTTCTGAAATCTTTCTCAAGGACTTAAGAGAGAGTGCTGCATCTTCCTTCATTAAAAATATGTTTTTGCTCTGGAGAAGACACTTGAATGCAAACAAACCAGTGAGCTTTTGATGATGTATAAGCAACTGTTTGACAATTTGTCCACATATCCCTCTGTCTTCATCTCTTTTCAGATCAGGCAGCATTGGTCTCATATGCATAATTCATATAGCTATCAGAACAGCCTCGCATAAAGGAGGAAGAAATGGCAGGGATATGGTACTGCCAGCTTACCCTGACCACAAGCTGTTTGGAAGACTTGCTATACATACTCATGGATAAGCCAGTTTATACTTAAGCCATGTTGGTTTATACATGGGTTCATGCAGTAAAGAAAGAAAAAAAAAAAAGAGCCAGCTCTGCCTGAGAGAGCTGTTTTTCTCCAACCGGAAGACGAGAGATTTATTCCCATTGCCTGGGAGCCCCAAGTCCAAACTGGGATGCCCATCCCCTATAATGGGGAAAAGACAAAACTGCCACAGCGGCTGGGGAACAACCAGGTTCCTACGTGCATGTTAGAATCTTTGGACTTGTGGCTCCTACACAGTGAGCATATTATAAACTTTGGAGATCATAAAACATGCATGCTGCAAGCTCTTTATTTGCAGTAAGAGCTGCTAGCTGGGGGGTTACTGTCTCTTCTACCACCTGGGCAATCCAGCAATGGGCATCCCAGTCAGGATTAGCGACTCTGTGGCAAGTACAGTGCTCATTTTGATACACCCATAGACCAACTCTTGAAAGTGGCCCCAAACATCAGCCTAAATATGTGGTATGTGTGCAGTAATTCCACAATGATATAAGAGAAACATTCTGCTCGTGATAGGGAACCTCAAAAAGCTTAGAGGCCCATGCTCTGGTCAGATAAATATCCAAACTTTTGAGTGCTTATCTGAGCGTTATCCAATCTATCTATACTAGTTAGCTGTACAAAACTGGGCTGCAGATCTAACAAGAATATGTATTTTCATGAGCTCTTCTATCAAAAGTATTTTTTCTTGCTGTTATTTTGGAATTCCTGTTTCTAGTCCTGGCCAGAAACAGGAAAAGCAGAGATAGGAAGAAAATATTCAAACTTTATTTGTATCTTTTAGGGTCTCAGTTGAAGTTTTAAGTGAGAGTTTGGAGAAGTTACTTCTGATTTTATCTGAACTGGTTTGCCCATGCCTAATGTCTACACAGAAAGTTCTCCATGTTACTCCAAGATTGGATATTTGGAAATTTTAATGGCCACCTTGCTTTCATCCAACAACATTCCAAGAAGCACCTTTTGACTTTTTATTTAAGATGTTGCTACGGCAAATGTCTTAATACAGAATTCTAGCATTTCCCTATTGTCTTCACTATTTATATAGGATCTGGAAAGTTGTTATAACTATGTGAACAAAAATGTGAGAGGATCTAGGCTAGTGGTTCCCAAGGTACTGATATTAGTATTTAAGCTTATTAAGTGTTTGTTCCTGACACATTAGGCTTCCCCCTGCCCCATCCCAGTCTGTGCTGAACATTGGTGTACCATCATTGCCTGCCTCATGTTCACTTGTACACAGCTCAAACTGGAGCTTGGATTGCTCCACACCTCAGTCTCACAATGCATCATGAGTACCCGAATGAGAGAAATCAGACCCTAGCTGATATAGGTATGTTGTAGTCTGATAACTTGGCACAGCTGTCCCAAAAGAATGGGTACTCTGGCTCTAAAAGAAACTGCAAACAAGAAATTATGCTCTGAAGGAGGTCTCCACAATTCTATTTTTCTCTTCCTACTTTTGCTGCTATTTCTATCGGGCTTCCCTTTGTTCTGAAATGTCCTTTTAGTCTGGTATCAAAATCAGATGGCATAGAATAATAAATACATACTCCCAGGAACAATCCTGCTTTTGCAGGAAAATGGGCTTGATGATCCAGGAGGCCTTTTCCATCTCTTTCCATTTTGTGACCATGACTCTTCTCAGTACTAGACCTAATTGAAAACATTTTTAACATTTTTGAAATTGTTCAGTCACTTCTATCTAAGGGCATGTCTACGCTTGTCATTTAAAGCGGAAAAAGTCCCTTTTCTGCACAAAAACCATGGGAGCATCTACACTTGCCAATTACTTTTTGCAGTGAAACTGAGAAGTTTCACCACAAAAAGAAAACCACCTCCACGAGAGGCATACAGCTCTTACCGGTGATGCTTTTGCAGTGATGTGCAAGTGAAGACACATTCTTCCTGTTTACAGAGCTTTTAACCTCCGCAGGATATCCCACAGTGCCCAGGTGACCACTCTGGCCAGCAGCTCTGCTGCTCTGTTGCCAGGTAAACAGACGTCCACCCCTCCCCCTGTAAAGCCCCAGGAACTTTGAAACTCCCCTTCCTGTTTTCTTGGCAAGTGCTCACTTATCTGGCCAGGTGACAATGACTGCTCCACGGAGCAATGCTGAGCTGCTGGAGCTGATCAGTGTTTGGGGAGAGGAGGCTGTGCAGGGATCCAGGATGCCCCGCGATCACCCCCCTCCACACACACACACACTTCCCAAAAGACCCATCGTCAAACTGGAGAGAGCTGCACTGTGGGATAGCTGCCCTAGAGCGCTGCTCTCATCCCCGTGGAAGTACTACTAATGTAAACACTCTCTGACAGCTGAGGAATGAAGTGAATACACAAAACAGGGTATTACTTTCACTGGTTCCCTATCACCAGTGAAACTTGCAGTGCAAAAACTCTGCAAGTGTAGACATAGCCTAAGGTACTTACATGATACCATCACTGTAGTATCTGAAGGCCTCACAATCTTTAATGTATTTATTCTCACCACAGCCTTGTGAGAAAGAGAAGTACTCATCTTCATTTTACTGATGAGGAATTGAGGCATAGGGAGACTATGGGATGGATTTTTAATGGTATTTAGGCACCTAAAGAATCAGAAATCAATGGCAGTTAGATGCCTAAAGAAAAGGAGTACTTGTGGCACTTCTGAAAATCCCACTAGATGCCTATTGGAGGTCACTTGTTCAGAACCACATGGGAAATCTGCGGCAACAGGGAGTTGAACATGGATCTCCTGATGTCCAAGCTCTCACCCTAACTACTGGACCACGCTTCCTCAAAACAACAACAAAGTGAAAAATGTTATCTATTTGAAAAATTGAATTTATTTGACTTTTGTTTCTCTTGTCCTCTTGCTTTCTAACCAGGAATCAGTTCCTTTCTTTTAATTTTGACTTTACATTTTGGAAAATGACTGGGTTGCAGAAAATGATGAAAAATTGGCAAACAAAACAAAACCTCAGCAAATTTGCCAATTTTTAAATTTATTTATTTTGTGAATGTTTCTGGTTCAGAATCCTATAATGGCAAGGAAATAGGCCTTTAGATCCAAAGAGTCTTTTCCCTCACAATCATCTTTGATTCTTTTCTGTCAAACCAACATTCCACACAAGCATTAAAGCCATTTTAGAAAGGGGTAGTTCATTGCAGACATAATGTACAACAGGTGTTTATGAATGCATGTGTAATTGTAATGGCTGCCTTACGTGGAGTTAATTTATGTACTGTGGTAATCAAAAAGGCATCTTCTTGTCCTTTGAAAAGCCACTGTAAGTTACAGTTGATAACTATGCATTCATTGCTGTGTGGGCAGAAAGCAGTATATCCATTTGCCCATATGTAACTCATTTTAGCTCTGATCTGTATGAGCTGGAATAAATTGGACATTTTTAATGACTACAGAACAGCACTTCAAGTTTGGCATTTAATAAAGGCAGAAAAATAACTATTTTTTTTCCATCTGAAAAGACTGGGACCTTAAGAATACCTTCAGGATCTATTATGATCATTTAATAAGAGCCAGGTGGCACATTGCCTGCTCCTTTGGTAAACAAGCATCAAATGTTTTCTGAATAATTTAATGGGTGTCTAGGTTACACAATGTTCCATTTATGACTATTTTATTAATACCTCTTTAAAAATTTGTCTTTATTTCTAAGGTCATGCACACCTAACAGATTTTAATATTGCAACAATAATCAGAGATGGTGAAAGAGCAACTGCGCTAGCTGGAACCAAACCATATATGGGTAAGAAATATTATCTAATAATTGTCTCTACAATTTGAAAGGGTACTTACAGCATACCATTTTATAATTTGTGTCTAACACAAAGTAATTGAACTAATTTAACACATTAATGCAAGCAATTTAGTTATTCAGAAAAGTTAATTAATCAAGCAGTCTATCTCTCAAGACGTGTGAATTATTTTCCCTAAAACACCTCATGACCCTCTTATGTTTGCTCTCATCCACCTCCCAATGTCGACATCAGTTCCTATTGTTCCTGCATTAATTTAGGTCCTGTTCCTGGGAGGTGCAGTTCCCACTGACCTGGGTGGGAACTGAGGGCACTCAGCACCTTGCATGACTAAGCTCTTAGACAGTAAGCTGTTTGGGACAGAATGTTTCTTGTTTGTCTTGTAAGGTCCCACCTGTGGCACTAAATAAAAGTAATTATTGTATCCACAAACTGATGTTTACTCCAAATCTGCAGCAGGATGTAAACACATACTACAGCCAGAGTGAAGAAATTGTTTTCTTTTCTGTTTTTATTTAGCTCCAGAAATTTTTCACTCTTTTCTGAATGGTGGGACAGGCTACTCCTTTGAAGTTGATTGGTGGTCTTTAGGAGTGATGGCTTATGAACTTCTTCGTGGATGGGTCTGGTGTCCTCTATTGTCTTATATGATAGTGTTTTCAGATATTTTTCTTAATAATCTTCAAAGGGAAGAACTGTATTTTTTTCATATTTCCATTTTATTTTCCTCAGAGACCCTACGACATCCATTCCAGTAACCCAGTAGAGTCTTTAATTCAGCTGTTTAGTACTGTAAGTGTGCAGTATTCATCAGTATGGTCAAAAGAAATTGTTGCTTTATTGAGAAAGGTAAATACTGTTTTTCTTAGTACAATTTCAATTGTGTGGTCACAAATTCCATACTGGCTACAATATGTACAGGACTAATTAGAAAATAGTCTTCTGTTCTGCTTCAAGATATTAACAAGTTTCCAGGCATTGAAGAGGGACTACACTTTATGACTTTATACAATGGTTAGCACAATTTAATTGCTCCAAAATATAATTTGAGTAGTCATTTGCTGCTTTATCTTCATCTTCTCTTTTGTTAGTTAGCAAGTGAGGTGTGTTACTTGATTGGTTTAAGTGATATAATCATATATACTTGCTCAGGTTAAGATACTGTAGTGTTAACATAACTGCCTGTATGGAAATGTATTACCTCCAATACTCTGAAATTCATAGCTGGCTATTGAAATAACTACCTTTCACCATAGACTAATTGCAGCATAAAATACATAGGTGTTTGGATATCCTACTGTGATAATGCTTTTTTTCCTTTCTCCAATTCTGCAGTCAGTGAATCTGATTCTGATTTGTCTTGTAATTAGAAATGTGTTTGTTTGCTTTTTTCTGGGGAAATGGGTGCTTTGTCACTTTCATTTTATTGTTATATCTAAGAAAGTCTGTTGATTTGAAGCTGATGTTGGTTTCCTGGATTCTGTTTATTAAAGGATTCAGAAAAGTGGCTGATCAAGAGAGTATAAAAGAGATAAACACTTCACTGACAGCAAATAAGTGACTCCAATATAAGTTAAAGTTGGGTGGACAATTTACATAATTGGATTTTATTTTAGTAAGAAGCAGAGTTGTTAGTTATTATTGCAATAAAAATTACTCAGCAAGATCACATACGCCATCTACTGGGTTAACTCAGAGAATGCATGCTTTTAAAGGTTTCAGAGGAACAGCCGTGTTAGTCTGTATTCGCAAAAAGAAAAGGAGTACTTGTGGCACCTTAGAGACTAACCAATTTATTTGAGCATGAGCTTTCGTGAGCTACAGCTCACTTCATCAGAAGTACTCCTTTTCTTCATGCTTTTAAAGAGAACATTATATATGGAAATAATAATAAATATCTATAATCCAAAAGTAGGGTGACCAGACAGCAAATGTGAAAAGTTGGGATGGGAGTGGGGGTTAATAGGAGTCTATATAAGAAAAGACCCAAAAATCAGGACTGTCCCTATAAAATCGGGACATTTGGTCACCCTATCCAAAAGTTATCAGTCATCACCCCCAAACCAGGAAGTTGCCCATGCCTGCAAGAATCCCACTAGTTTTCTTGCTCTAAAACATTGTCCAGCTGAGGAGAACTGCACAAGAAACTCTTCGGAGCCCAGTATCGCTTTTCCTTAGGGCTTGTCTACACTGGCACTTTACAGCACTGCAACTTTCTCACTCAGGGGTGTGAAAAAACACCCCCCCCCCCGAGCTCAGCAAGTTTCTGCCCAGCGCTCTGCCGCGACTACACAAGCCACGTTAAAGCGGTGCCGCGGCACCGCTTTAATGTTGCCAGTGTAGACTAGCCCTTAATCAGCTGGCTGAGGAATTGCTGAATAACGTGGGGCATTTCTTTCCCAGCATAGGCTGAGCATGTTACCTACACAGCGCTTCCTGATCTTACCAGGCAACAAGAGATCAGGACTAATAATCAAATGTTTCCTCCTTCTGGCCCCAAATGAGGAATTTTCCCATCAACTAACCCAGGCATCATTAATTATGGTATTTCTAACATTTGAGTGCTTGAGTTTGCAACCTTAATAATTTTTCTTTTAACATGGGGTGGGGGGCTTGGGTTTTTTTGTGTGTGTGTGTGTGTGTGCAGATAATAAGTTATATGTCATTTCCGACAAAGGGTTTTTTCTTGCTTAGTTAATTATAAGAGCATGATTAAAGACAGAATGATTCTGTATGCCTGCTCTTTCTCAGGCCAGACCATGCCTTACTGCAGTGCTTGTCATTTCAGCTATTGACGGTGAACCCTGAGCATCGATTTTCCGGCCTCACTGACGTTCAAACTTCAGCTTACTTATCAAATGTCATCTGGGATGATGTCTGTGAGAAGAAGGTGGAGCCAGGCTTTGTTCCTAATGTAAGCAAAAGTGATGACTTAATCAGTTTCCCCTTATTGAACAATGATCACTGTTTACTTAATAAGACAAAGGATTTCTATGGCTGAAATAACTCCTAAATGTATTAGCTGAAACATATTCTCATAAATCACAGAACTAAGCCTTCAGTCAGTACCTTTGTACCATTCTAACAGAAAGGCCGTCTGCATTGCGATCCCACCTTTGAGCTAGAAGAAATGATCCTGGAGTCAAGACCCTTGCATAAAAAGAAGAAAAGACTTGCAAAAAACAAGTCTAGGGACAACAGCAAGGACAGCTCACAGTCAGTAAGTCCGTCCTTGAATAGCTAAAACAGTACAGGGGACAAAAAGCTGATGTGTTGAAATCTGGTTGTTATAAAAGCAGTTACTTTGCATGGTGGATTTTCATTCATACGTGTTATAATAAAAATGTTCAGCCAAGTGGACAGTCAGACTGACTCTGCCCGAGAACTAAATTCTCCTCTTCCATCTTCATGGCAGATCTCTTCCACATTTTTCTGTTATCCCTAAAGTGACATGAGTGGGGGATCCATGCACATTGATCAAGAAACTATAAACATCAGGAGATCCACGATGTAGATAGGGAAGAAAGATTTTTCAGATCAGATGCGGTATCATTTAAACAGTTAGATCCTGTGTCTTCTGTCACACTGGGTTACACCTGTGTAACTCCTTTGAATTCTATAGATTTACTACTAATTGACTCTCATATTAGTGAAAGGAGAACCAAATTATTAGTAAAATGAGATGTGTGGCAATTTAGAAATATGGATGACACAAATATTAATGATTCAAAGCTTTGAGTCCTCCACTTGAAAGAATAATAAAATTCTGCAGTATTACCAGGCTGGCTTCTCACAGTGTCTTTCAAATACTGCATGTTCAATTCTCAAGAGCTAGTCTCAACTGAGTTTTGCAACGCTACTAACCAGAACCCTAGGGTATCCTGTGCAATCCTGATTTAGGATATTCCCAGGAATGCATGGGAATCACTCTTTTCATGTAGATCCCTCCTGAGTGTTCATGATGACCCTTGGTAGGCCTTACAGTGCCCTTCCTTTGAGAGGTAGCAGGAGGCTTTGGAAACAATCAAGTAAAAAAAGCAGATCCTATGTGTCTCCCATGAATTCCCACGAATATCCAATGAGATTGTGCTATGATTTTTTTCTTACTAACAACAAAACTATTGCAGCCAATGAAAATAAATATTTAGGAAACACCCATTCTTTTAGAAACTAGGTTATATAAATGTTTATCATCATGGGAGCCAGGGTTCAGGCTAGACTCAGGTCACTAGTAAAATGAATACAGGAGTCTCAATCTTCTCCATTATGGACATGTTCCCATAAAATAACAATGACATCATTTGGCATAGTACGTAGCTTCATCTCAGGGAAAGTCTAGTATTTGTAAGGCGTGTTGCAGGCTATAACTGATGTGTATGGGTAGATCTAGGTGAGGAAGCATTCACAACACCTAAGCACTTATTTCTGGACTCAGGACAGTGCTTCTTGCATCTCAATTACATGAACATTAAAATTATCCCCAAAATAAAAATAAAAACATAATAAACATATTTTTTTTAAGAATACCAGTTATCTTATAAACAGCAGGAAGTATCTGTTAGATTTCTCCCTGACTTGTGGGCTGAGTCTATTAACAGCAGTAGATCATTTCCTCCTTCAGCACTAGTTAACATTACAATCAATGAAGGTTCCTATAAAAGATTAGAAGAATAATTCAGGAAGCCAAAAACCAGAATAAGCAAACTTAACAATAACTTGCGGAGGCACTCACTGACAAGTGAGTTAAAGGCACTGCTACATTTTTCTCCAGCCTCTATATGTCCTGCCAATCTCCTTGATGGTGCTATTTAAATGTAGCTCTTAAGACACTCTGGGATCCTTCAGGATGATAGTCAATATGGGTGAAATTCACCCCTGGAAATAGGGCTAGTTAAAGGTCTATATACCACTTAAATCCTGCATAAGACCTGTTTTGAAGATTTAAGTGAATGAGTAGATATAGGCCTTATGCTTGCTCTCTGCACCAGGGTGAATTTCACCATTTATAAACTGATTATTCATGTAGTAAAGGATTGTGTGTATTAACATGTTATTTATGTTGTAGGGAAATTATTGCACCAGAACTGAAAACAGAACACAGTGATTTAAAAATGTGAAAGAAATGAAGGTCTTCTTTTTCCATCATCAATTTAGGCTGAAAGACATACTACCTGATTAGATTATATTCATGTGCATCTAGACACAGCAATAGTCACATATACAGTCTGTCGTTTTCTGTATTGACTTCTCATGCACGTGATGTTTTTCTTTTTTCAAAAAACAGGAAAATGACTATCTCCAGGAATGCCTCGAAGCAATCCAGCAAGACTTTGTCATTTTTAACAGAGAGAAGTGAGTGAGGGGGTATGTTTTCAGAAGGAAAGGGGGCTTCTTTTTACTTAGCAGAATTTGGATTAACAAAAACCGATTGTTGGCGGCCATAAATATGAGAATCAAAGCAATGGCCCAGTTCTGCATTGTTGACTTCAATGGAGCAGTCCCAGGCCCTATTTTTTTTTTAAGCTTAATTAAAATATGGAACTGAAGAACAACTCCAAAAGCCTCAATATTTATTAAACTCTGTAGTTAAATCAAATATGTTACAGAATCTTGTGGATTTTAAAATAATTATGATTTTGAGTCTTGAATACACCCATAATACCCACCCATCCACTGCATTTTTGACGATGATATGGCAAATGAAAGAAATATGGTAAAATGCCCTCCATGCTCCACAATGGGTGAATGAAAGCACTGCAATCAAAATATCTGCTTTCCCCTGTTGCTTGAAGATATTTATGACATTTTTGCTATTAAATTAAAACAATATGATAGGAGGCAATTCCTTCCAAGCTAGGAAACAAACCATGCTCCTGAGTAAGCTCATCACAGTAGGTTACTAGATATCCCCTTACGACATGTACAGCACTGCATATGCCATTGTGTTTAAAATATAAGAATACATCTGCAGCTGTTTGGGTTATGGTACCCTATAGTCAAAAAGACTTTAAAACACAGGAGCTTATACAAAAATTTATGAAAATGTTAGGATATGGGTTGGGCGGATCTCAAATATGGAAGAAACACTCAGGTGTGTGTTTCATGTATTACATTTGTTCATGCATTTGTTTCATATGTTACATATGATACTTAGCACATAAGAGAGAATTCACTGCAATGGCTAAGACATTGGTTGTCAAACTTTTCCAAATCTGGGATTTCCCTCCCATTTAGGAAGAATCTATCCAGGGCCCCTTTAGCTTTCCGAGAACTACAAGGTGGTTGTGACCCCCCTGATGCCTCACTATGACCCCTAAACTGAGAACCCTGGTGATAAGTTAGTACATGTGGATGGTAGGGGCACCTTAGGACTCATTTTCCATTTCAGTTTTTTCAATCGTTTCTACAAAAATTTTAAGTATAGAGAAAGCATGTAACCTGTTACTCGTATGTTCTGCACAGGTTGAAGAGGAGTCAAGATCAAATGAATGAATCTATTTCTCCTCCTGAAACTACAGATGAAGCCGAGACAGAAGCCGAATCTGAGAATTCCAATTTAAACATGTGTAGCTCAGTATGTTCTTCTACAGGCAGCAGCTAGGACTACAGTTTCAAGGCAAGGGGCCAAAAACCTACACGCTTCTTGAATAAATCATTCTCAGGTTGCACTGATGAATATATACTGTACACTGCATACTATAATTGAAAAAAAGTCACAAAATCAATATTGTAAAGCTGTAGCAGAGGTAGATAGTTCTTAAAGAACTGAATTCATGGATTTAAATGATGGCCAGTTCTGAACACTGGATTAGCTACTATGAGGAAAAAATACTTGCTATGCAACACTTTGGAGAAAATAGTTCAGTTTCTTTCTTTGCTCTTTTTTAAAGGCAGATTGCTGACTCAGGCATGTTTGAACATGGTAAGTGAACAGGTCAGATCCTTGCATATGAGCAAGGCGCACACAGCACAAGTGTGTGTTTGGGAAAGATTGAGAAGATGATGTAAAGCTCACCTTTGCACTCCGCCAGAGCTAAGATTGCTTTTTACAGGATTGGCCCCTTGTGTAAATTGGAGAAGCCCTCAGGCTGCTCTAATTAATGACAGGTGCTAACAGCCTCAAGGGACTAAATAGCTGAGGAGCGTGCAGTTTAAGAGCACCTCAGTCACACCCTCTTTCCTCTGGCTGCACTCTACATGTAGGAGCCTCTCTGTCAACCCAGTGCAACTGGATGCTTCTCCTTGCACTGGGCCAATCCCAGAGGGGCTGGATATACTGGCTTTACAAAGAGAATCTGTTAGTGGAGTGGCACAAAGTGGTTGCACTGCACCAAAGGATCTGGTCTAAAATATTTAATCTCCTTGTATGGCTGTCCTTAGCTACAAGGAGCTGTGCACATTACAAGCCAATGAATCAGAAATTATTCTATTTTTTCATCACATTGAATTAATAGGGCCTAAATTCTATTGGATTTAGGTTTTACTGGAAATGAATCCAGTGAGTAGCCATAAAATGCTGCTCAATAATAGAAGAAAGGTGATGTCAGTTTTACCCATCTGTTTACTTTATTCTAAGTGTAAAATAAAGTACTGTACATAATCTGCTGGTACCTGTCTTAACTTTTCATTAGGAGAGGAGATCTCTTGACTTTGCTCCAGCTGTGGATATTGTTTGTTTGTTTCAGAAGCCTTTTCTATGTTAGGCTTAGTGGCTTATTCTACTGTATAGTGGCTTTAAGTTACTATTACTGAAATCAAGCCATCAGTTCTTCTACACCATTCAATTACTGTGCTGTGCATATATCTCATTATAATTATATCCACACAAAAGCTAGCAAAATCTGTTACCAGACCTTAAGAAATCTGCCATGTTTGCATCCTTACTGTATGTTCCTGAAGCATAATGGATAGAGAATGTTTTTAACAAATGCAAACGCTTTCAAGGCAATTTCTGCTGTGTTGATGTATAGTTTGGAGTATCCATGAATGAAACAAAAGGAATTACCAGTGTAAAACAATTTTATATGTAAAACAAGACATGCTTATCTTTCCACAGTTTTATGTGGAAACTAGTAAGTGGTGAAAATTGTGCAGAACCAAATTTTAATAAAAAATATTCAAGTGTGCAGGCACAACTTGTGGGGGGGGAAAAAGACACCAAAGCTTTTATACCAGTTGCACAGTTATTTTTAGGACACAGCCAGGTAAATGGTATGTCCTGTTAGTAATTAAACTGTAGAAGACCATGGTTCTTGCTAGAGCATGGCCATCCACATCCTATCATTCATAGTATAATCAGAGCTGTGAGAGCTTGAATAAGTCGTAATGTGGGGAGCCACTCTTTTCAGAGAATAAATACCATCCAGCTATGTTAATGTTCCTAGATATTACTATAAACTATCCCTGCTCTAATGATAGGTTGAAGTAAGGGTTGGCTTATTTGAGTAAAACAGATCTAAAATAAATACTCCCCTCCCTTTCGCCCCTTCCTTACCAGCTACAGGAGAATATTTACCTCCCCAGCTCTGAGTCACAAACAAACTTCAAAAGGGAGATTTTTTTTCCTTTTCCTTCTGCCCTGCAGTAACATTCCAGCTGATTACCAAATCAGCAAAAGAATTCACACAGCCATCCTCCTTTGCTGTTCCCTCCAAAGGCATATTAAAGCATATTTGAATAGAATGTATGATCTGGGCCCTATACTTTGAAAGATTTCAATGAACATTTTTCTAGCAACACTTTGCCCTGCTACTCATGCATTTTGTTATCAGGTTCCACCTTCCTCCACTTACATTTTATTTTTGTAAAGGTAATGGACCTAAAGCCTCACATTTTTGTCTTGATCCAAGACATACCTTGCTTTGCTCTATCTCTCTTCCCCTTTCTGTTGCAGATTCCCAACCAGCCCATTGTCCCATGGCAGGGAAATTACCTTTTTAAAAGAATCAAAATTAATAATAAGTGCCATAGGCATCTTCCAAAATAACAGCTATTTACTCTCATTCCCCAGTCCAATGTCAGAGTACTCAATATCATGTCTCTTTCTTGTGTTTGATAAAAAGAATCCAATAAAAAAAGCTCTGAGAAGTAGGTGCAAACATACCTCAACTTGCCAAGCCTCAAATATGGGTTGCAATGTGTGGCAAAGATGCAAAGTGAAGGGGGCAAAAAATTATTAATGCAGGAAACTTAAATGTTGTCAGCCTCAGTCTGTCGTATAGATGGATCTATCGTGTCAGTTTCATTATTCTTTATTTCTCATGTAAATAATTTTCACCAATAAAATGATGGCACACCAAAATAGTGAGGAACATAGGTAGCGATGGGAATGAAATGAGCAATGTTTGACAGGCATGGATGCACGCCTAACAAGTTAATGTCAAAAACTCCCTCTGTTTAAAGGAGCTCTCTGCAGCTCAATTAAAATATACTGTAAAAGCAAAAGCAATAGAACCCATTCACTGCTGTATTTAGCACATGGTGTAAGTGGTTTCTAAAGCTGAAGTAACAGCGTATAGGAATGAACTGACTTTTCCAGGTCAGGCTTTGTTTATTTCTCATTACTTCCACTTTTTGTCACTTATCTTTCCTGTATAAACCAAGCAGAAATGTCTTTAGTAGTACCAAGCAGTAAACAGAAAAGCTCCAATGAGGACACTGCTTGTAGGTCATTAGGGCCCAAATTCTGGTCGCCCAGAAGGCACTGCTGAAGTGCAACATATTGTTTCCTAAGGAAACAAGATCTGGAAAACGCTTGTGCACACACTATTTCTGCCTCGATTAAATGTATTTCTAAATCTTGATCTCCGAGAAGCAAATGACATGAGAAAGAGAGACTTTTAGAATTATTGTCCTATGTATTTGAATCACCTTGAGTACAATATAATTTTAGTACTCATTTTCTGTCTTAAATAACGCATGCAAATGTACCTCACTAACACCCATCTGGGAAATACTTTTACTGATGCCTATTTACACATATTCCCTAGCGAAGAGATTACATGCATATAGTAACTGTAAAAAGAAGACAAATTGTAAGACATGGATACATATTTGCTTTATTGTTAAACAAAAAAATGAGGTGTAATATGATGGGCCAAATTCATCCCTGGTGTAACACCACTGAATGTTCTATACCATTTATGTTTGTATGTTCTCAACATAAAATTTATATTTTGCTTTAGAAAAAAATATGTGAAAGGATTTTGGACTATGCACTCCAGCATATTTTACCAGTTCTTCTCTTTGCTGTCTATGGGGTATCTGTTGTTTGGGGTGTGTGATAGAATCTATAATAATGATATTGTGATCATTTTAATGCTGCCTCTTTACTTGACTGGGTGGCATTGTCCTGATTTCTATGTTCCTTTTAGGAGTCTTTGATTAAAACTGTATAATCTTCTGGACAAATTGGGCCTGATCCAATGCCCTTTAAAGTCCTTGGTCATCCTCCTATTGCCTTCAATGGACATTTGATTGGGCCCTTTTTGTCTATTTCAAATAATGCCCTGTGTAAAACTTCATTTGATATGTATAAAACTTTTGAGGGCAATAGGATTTTTTTCTTTGTTCACTTATTTCATCAATACCATGTTCCTGGTACACAATCTTTTACACAGACACATACAGTTAGACCTCTTTAGGAATCAAGAGTTTAATGCATAGGCTTTCTGCTGTACAGTGAATTAATGTATTTTCTAGTCTGTACTTAGGTCCCTTGTTTATGACTAAGGCCCTCAGTGAGCAGGACTAAGTGGGGTAAGATCAGAGTCCCTAGCTTTCTAATTCTTCTACCCTTGTAGCCAATAACATTAAACAAATATTTACCTTGAGTGCAGAGTTTGTCAACACTAATCTTTGACTGAGGAAAGGAATCATTCTTTTCTGATGTTGTTTATATTATTTATATTCCTAGCTAAACAAATCCATTTTCTAATGTAATCCAAGAAGTGCTTTTCACATTCCATAGGGCTTGCCCTAGGTAAAGATTTTAGTATTTGATCATTTAAACAATTCTAATGGTTAGTAGAAGCAATTCTTAGACCCCCTGGAGTTCTGGAAAATGGAGATCACATGTTTTACCCTGGCTTTTATGTTTACATGCAAGGCCCTTTAGTGTAAGATATTCAAGAACACTTGTGACTGTGTAGGGTTGCGGCCCAATTCCAATTTCTTACACCCCTCAAAAACACAGTGGGAATTTTGGGAGTAAATAATGGTATGATGGGCAGTAGGTGAATAGTAAATCCTACTGCCAGAAATGCTTTTACAGCAGTGGCATGGGAACTTTATTTGAAATAAAATATGAATCATGTGCCACTTATGTCTGATTGTACCAGTGGCAAAAACAAGACTAAAGATGTGCATTGCTCATTGCATTTTATGTAACGAATGACATTAAGTTATTGTAGGACTCTATTTTATTTGTGAATGGGCTGGTTCCAATTAACAATATATTTTTGGTTTGAATCTCTCTGCACCATTTCTCTTTTTACTGTATCTCTTATTTTAGAGCCTGCTGCTGCACTTGGTCCACAAGCAAAACTACCATTGTAATTCATGGACTACAACTATCATTTGCAATTATTTCCAGAGCGGACCACTAACGCTGGTTGCCATCTCTAGCTCTCCTACCAGAACCACAAAACTCAATTGAATCTGCATGAGATATTCAAATGCTCTGTGTATTAATCATTCTTCATGATACATCTATACAATCTCTTTGTGGTTTTCCACAATCCATTGTACTAGCTGTATGCCATTTTTAATGGAATCATCATCAATTCATTGCTGTAAAATAAGTAATGTCCTCTTTTCTCAGTTTGTTGCATTGGAAATTTCTGAAAATACTTTAAAAACCTTCCAATGAACGCCAGCTGACTTTCCTGGGAATTTTGCATGACAAAGGCATGCAGGAACTGTCCCGTAAGGGTAAATTTTTTTTGCTAACTATTTATTGGTCTATTCCTTGCCCAAAAGAGTAAAATAAATAACTATTTTTTAAAAAACAGTAGAAATGTCTACAACAGCATAAACTTGACTTGGAACAGTGCTGAAATACTGATGCCTTGCAGGCTTCTTATTTATTTATTTATTAGTTATTTGAGTGCAAATCACATATGTAAGTATATCTTTGTATTTTATGATAATACAATTCTGTAATTTTTATTGCATGAAAACACCACCATATTACACAAGAAAATTTAAGTTCTGGCAATATATTTGTGTTTTTGCAGATACTGCAGAGAAGCCATTGCATTTGTGGAGTAATAAATGTGTATTTTTAAGATATCTGGAAATTTGCAATCATTTCTAGATTTATTGTTCAAGAGAAATAAATTAAGTATTGTAAGGAGGGCATGTAGTGGTCACATTCCTTATTTACATATTCAAGGGCTAGATATTTTTACAGTTTGGTATAACAGTCAAAACATAACAAATCTATTTTATATCAGCCATTATGGTCATGGATATTCTAAAGACGTGCTCAGTAATATTTTTAGATCCATTTAATATGCCAGTCAGTAATCCATGTAAAAGTATTTGTAATTTGCACCCAAGATAAAAAAAATGCAATTATATTCTCCATTCTGGTGTTTTGGTCACTCATCCATAAATTAAGTATTGCTGATCTTTAGAGGTAGTGCACACCTAATTTAGGCAGGTTAACACAATTGTGTTTATAGTACATCCAGAATATTAAGAGAATGCTCCCAGGATGCACTTCTCCTACATGAGCACTTGCAGCATCCAGCAACACATGCAGAATGTATTTTATTCCTCCAAGATGGTATATACTGGTAAGCTAGAGACTCTCTAGGCCTGGGGAAATAGGTAATAAATTGCTCCAGGAAAGACACAGTATTAGGCCTTTTAAAGCCAGTGCATATAATATGGGTAATGCTTGTTCACCATAACCATCTCCATTTGTTCCCACATATCTAAGAGCCATCTACAGTGTGGAGGCCTGGGTTTTCCTCCCAATTTGGCTTTCCTGGTTTTCACCAAAATCAATAAAATTTTGTCCATTGATACCTAGAACATTCCCAGAAATTTGGAAGTGATCGGATATAGTGTTCCAAAGTTATTAGATTACAAACAGACACAGAAATGCCATAAAGATGAGTGTAGGGCCTCACTTCACTCACCCAGTTATTTATTTGTATTGTGGTAGCAGCTAACAGCCCCAGTCCTGGACCAGGACCCCACTGTGCTAGGCACTTACAAACACAGAACAAGAAGATAGTCCCTGCCTCATGGAGCTTACAGTCTAAAACAAAGAACAACAGGTGGATATAGTCAGACAGATGAAGGACCACAAAAAAGCAATGAGAATACCAGGAGTCATCTCAGCACACTAGTTGCCTAACTGTTGTCAGATTCTTTGTAGGTACCACAGCAGAAGATGGTTAAAAGGAGGGATTTGAAGAAAGATAATGATATAGCTTTGTGGATGTAATGGGAGAACTTTTCCTATGAACGAGGGCAGCATGAAGATGTTTTGTTGAAAATGTAACAAGTAGGCAGTGAACACTGAGTGAGCTGTAGCTCACAAAAGCTTATGCTCAAATAAATTTGTTAGTCTCTAAGGTGCCACAAGTACTCCTTTTCTACTGGCATCATTCACAGTGCAGAGCCAGGAGTAGACACCTTTATTTCTCATATACTATTTGAGATATCTTAGTTTTATACTGCCACCCAACATTGTAAACCCAAACACTGTAATATCTGGGTGCTTTCCATGTAATCTCAGTAGCAAAGTCCCTAACAGACTTCATAGAGTCTCTGGCACTTCTCCATTTACGGGATCATAGAATCATAGAATATCAGGGTTGGAAGGGACCCCTGAAGGTCATCTAGTCCAACCCCCTGCTCGAAGCAGGACCAATTCCCAGTTAAATCATCCCAGCCAGGGCTTTGTCAAGCCTGACCTTAAAAACCTCTAAGGAAGGAGATTCTACCACCTCCCTAGGTAACGCATTCCAGTGTTTCACCACCCTCTTAGTGAAAAAGTTTTTCCTAATATCCAATCTAAACCTCCCCCACTGCAACTTGAGACCATTACTCCTCGTTCTGTCATCTGCTACCATTCAGAAAAGTCTACAGCCATCCTCTTTGGAACCCCCTTTCAGGTAGTTGAAAGCAGCTATCAAATCCCCCCTCATTCTTCTCTTCCACAGACTAAACATCCCCAGTTCCCTCAGCCTCTCCTCATAACTCATGTGTTCCAGTTCCCTAATCATTTTTGTTGCCCTCCGCTGGACTCTTTCCAATTTTTCCACATCCTTCTTGTAATGTGGGGCCCAAAACTGGACACAGTACTCCAGATGAGGCCTCACCAGTGTCGAATAGAGGGGAACGATCACATCCCTCGATCTGCTCGCTATGCCCCTACTTATACATCCCAAAATGCCATTGGCCTTCTTGGCAACAAGGGCACACTGCTGACTCATATCCAGCTTCTTGTCCACTGTCACCCCTAGGTCCTTTTCCGCAGAACTGCTGCCTAGCCATTCGGTCCCTAGTCTGTAGCGGTGCATTGGATTCTTCCATCCTAAGTGCAGGACCCTGCACTTATCCTTATTGAACCTCATCAGATTTCTTTTGGCCCAATCCTCCAATTTGTCTAGGTCCTTCTGTATCCTATCCCTCCCCTCCAGCGTATCTACCACTCCTCCCAGTTTAGTATCATCCGCAAATTTGCTGAGAGTGCAATCCACACCATCCTCCAGATCATTTATGAAGATATTGAACAAAACCGGCCCCAGGACCGACCCTTGGGGCACTCCACTTGATACCGGCTGCCAACTAGACATGGAGCCATTGATCACTACCTGTTGAGCCCAACAATCTAGCCAGCTTTCTACCCACCTTATAGTGCATTCATCCAGCCCATACTTCCTTAACTTGCTGACAAGAATACTGTGGGAGACCGTGTCAAAAGCTTTGCTAAAGTCAAGAAACAATACATCCACTGCTTTCCCTTCATCCACAGAACCAGTAATCTCATCATAAAAGGTGATTAGATTAGTCAGGCATGACCTTCCCTTGGTGAATCCATGCTGGCTGTTCCTGATCACTTTCCTCTCATGCAAGTGCATCAGGATTGATTCTTTGAGGACCTGCTCCATGATTTTTCCAGGGACTGAGGTGAGGCTGACTGGCCTGTAGTTCCCAGGATCCTCCTTCTTCCCTTTTTTAAAGATTGGCACTACATTAGCCTTTTTCCAGTCATCCGGGACTTCCCCAGTTCACCACGAGTTTTCAAAGATAATGGCCAATGGCTCTGCAATCACAGCCGCCAATTCCTTCAGCACTCTCGGATGCAACTCGTCCGGCCCCACGGACGTGTGCACGTCCAGCTTTTCTAAATAGTCCCTAACCACCTCTATCTCCACAGAGGGCTGGCCATCTCTTCCCCATTTTGTGATGCCCAGCGCAGCAGTCTGGGAGCTGACCTTGTTAGTGAAGACAGAGGCAAAAAAAGCATTGAGTACATTAGCTTTTTCCACATCCTCTGTCACTAGGTTGCCTCCCTCATTCAGTAAGGGGCCCACACTTTCCTTGGCTTTCTTCTTGTTGCCAACATACCTGAAGAAACCCTTCTTGTTACTCTTGACATCTCTTGCTAGCTGCAGCTCCAAGTGCGATTTGGCCCTCCTGATATCATTCCTACATGCCCGAGCAATATTTTTATACTCTTCCCTGGTCATATGTCCAACCTTACACTTCTTGTAAGCTTCTTTTTTATGTTTAAGATCCGCTAGGATTTCACTATTAAGCCAAGCTGGTTGCCTGCCATATTTACTATTCTTTCGACTCATCGGGATGGTTTGTCCCTGTAACCTCAACAGGGATCCAGAACTCTGCTTGAGAAAAATTTTTGTGTTTATTTTTTCCTCATGCTTATTCATTACATGATGTTTTAGCTTTATTTCAATTTACAAAAGATTAACGCAAGGTCTCTTATGATTCTGTGTCTTTGACAAAGGGCAAAGATGCAAATGAACACCTAATGCTTACTAATTTTTTCTCATTAAAAATAATTTTGTAGATAGTGACACTGCTGAGGCTGTAGGTTTGCAGATCCAATACTCATCTACTTCACCTGCCCAACGCTCAGCACTGTCAAATTCCAATTCAGTAACTTGGCCCATTTGGTTCCTGAAAAAGGAGCTATTCAGTAGTTTAGTTACTTTAAAAATATCATTTCTCGTGTTTGGACTAATTAACATCCAGCAGCAAAAGCACAAAGTGGGAAAAGTGCCACAAGCAGAAAAGGTAAAGGGAGAGCAGGGAGAAGGGGAAATGGCCTCTTACTAATACTTTTCAATCCTCCCTCCCATGTCAAGCCACTAGTACACAGCACATTCTGCAGACGGCACACACATAACTGTGGTACCTCTCAGACACAATGCTGCAAACCAAACTGCTCAGATAGTATTTATTGGCTAGCCAGGATCAACTTGATTTGTAAGGGTCAGAAGGAAGGAGTTCTTCATGCGGTGCACACAGAGTTGGATTTGTCCACCTTTACTGGCATTAATTCTAACATAAATCCTCCTGAGGTCCCTTCCAACCCTGATATTCTATGATTCTCACACAAATTAAGGGGTTCAGCCATTTCTCACAGTTACCCCTTCCTGTATCATTAGCCTACCTCACCCTTCTCCTTTTTCCCAGTGCAGACTATCTAGGTAGGATTAAGACTGGCACAGGTAATGCAGCCAGTGTCAGGTCTAAGACATATTTTAGATGTCACACTGTTCTACCACAGTAAGTCATTAGCTACACCTGCATTCATTAGTTGGCCTTAATGTCTCGAAGGTCTCTGTTGTGACTAGTACACAGTTAGAATGCGGCACAGGTGTCCTGCCTGAAATTCTAATTCTGCCGCTGCTTTGGAGACCCCACCCAGCAATGTGCAAATGCTGGGGTACTAGAACAGCTGCCTCTGCCTGGGTCCTTCATTCTGAAGGGCTTTTCAGTTAACAGCTACAAATGGTATGTTGAACTAAAGCTCAGGCAATTATATTTTAGTTGGATTTCACCAGTCTTTCCCCCAAGCAGTGCCATGTTCCATGTATCTCAGTGGAAGATACAAAACCAATTAATTGCCTATTCTTTAGTTTCTGTGGCTCTGCTGCAGATTTTGCTTCTGGTTTTTTCCCCCCCCCTCGCAGTTTAGTCAGTGAAACAGAAGGAGCCAATGGCTGTTCAGGAGCATGTGACTGTTGTTTTGAGTTTGCAACCAGTAGCGCACTGACTTAGCACGTACACATGGCCTATAAATAGAACAAGTGCATATACGTGCTCTATACATGTCTGCAATATAACTTCACTATGTGGCATCAC